CATTTCAGAAAAAACTTTCTTTTCTGCCTCTGAAAGCCTCTGAAACAGAGCTTCAGAAAAAAAAGCCTCTGAAGCTCTGTTTCTGGGGCTTTTTTTTCTGAAGCTCTGTTTGGAGGCTTTTTTTCTGAAGCTCTGTTAGGGGGCTTTTTTACTGAAGCTCTGTTTGGGAGCTTCTTTTCTGAAGCTTCGTTTCTGATGCTTTTTTTCAGCCTCTGAAATCTCCGTTTGAGAAGCCAGGCAGGGCTACATTCAGAGTATAAGATGCACACTGATTTTCGCCCTCTTTTTTTTGGGGGGGGAAGTGCGTCTTATACTCTGAAAAATATGGTAGTTCTTGACTTATGACTGGTCGCTTAGCAACTGATTAAAGTTATGATGAATCTTCCTTAAGGCTAATTATGACCCAGTTCCAACAGTCAGGACTTAACTTTGGGCATTCGGCAATACAGCTGTACTTGTGAACTTTGGGCAACATTCTGCATTCAAGTGATTGCATTTTACAGCACTTTTGCTAAAACCTGGCACTTACTTCTGGGTTTTAGCAAAATCATACCCATAGTAAACCATTGGTCCGCTTAACAACCACTGCAAAAAAGGATCATTAAATTAGGAAGGTCACATCTGACCCATTTTATGACTGTTGTGACTTATGACCATGATGAGCAGGCTCCATTGTGGTCACATATTGAGGATTACCTGTATAGAAGTTATAATTCAATACACTTGGGGTGCCCTATGTTGGGAGCGTGCATAAGTGTATATTGGCATAGTTGAGAGAATGAATACACTTGTCTTAGAGGTATCATTTCACCCATTGCTGTGTGTAGACAGAGAGCTGAGCGACATCCATTTGTTGCCTTTCAGGTGAATATAGGCAAGTATATCTGTTGGTTCTGAGAGATAATAGAAGCTTTGAGTCCAGGATTGTCTCTTTTTTCTTAGATATTTGTTGTTAGTTGCAAAGCCGTGTCCGACCCATTGTGACCCCATGAGCAACGTTCCTCCAGGCCTTCCTGTCCTCTACCATCCTCTGGAGTCCATTTAAGCTCATGCCTACTGCTTCAGTGACTCCATCCAGCCACCTCATTCTCTGTCGTCCCCTTCTTCTTTTGCCCTCAGTCTTTCCCAGCATTAGGATCTTCTCAAGTGAGTCCTTCCTTCTCATTAGGTGGCCAAAGTATTTGAGTTTCATCTTCAGGATCTGGCCTTCTAAAGAGCAGTCAGGGTTGAGCTCCTCTAGGACTGATCGATTTGATTGCCTTGCAGTCCAAGGGACTTGCAGGAGTCTTCTCCAGCACCATAGTTCAAAGGCCTCAATTCTTTGGTGCTCAGCCTTTTTTATGGTCCAGCTTTCACAGCCATACATTGCAACTGGGAAAACCATAGCCTTGACTATACACACTTTTGTTGGCAGGGTGATGTCTCTGCTTTTTACCCTGTTTCCCCCAAAATAAGACCTTCCGTGATAAAAAGCCCAAGCAGGCTTTTGAGAGCATGGCAATAAGGCCAAGTGCTTATTTCAGGGTTCAAAAAAATATAAGGCAGGGTCTTATTTTGGGGGAAACACGGTAATAAGCTATCTAGATTTGCCATAGACCCATATTGGTTTTCCTGTAATTTATTATAGTACACATGCCAGAGCTACACAGAAATCTCAAACAAATCTCAGGAAGCCTCCAAAGAATAGCTTTTTAAAAACTTTCCAAGTTTACAAGATCCTCCAATTTCATGAGTTTTTAATAATTTCAACTTTGAAATGGCATGGATTATCACCTAAAATGACATGGCTGGTCAACTGAAATTTCATAAGATTTTGTTGTTTTTGACTCTATGATTGCACAAAATATCAGAATCCAAACACAAGATCTGGTAGGTTTTCATGCAAGAACCTTGAAAGCTTCTAAGATTCTGCATATTATTTTTAAAAACATTAATTACATGTTTAAATATTGAATTTTGAGATTGAGTCAGTGCTTGTTGCCATCCCTGCTTTATTCTTGGAAAAGTTTTTCAGAAGCGGATTGCTATTTCCTCCTTCTTAGTTCTAGGAGGACTAGAACTCAGTCTCCTGGTTTCTAGCCTAATGCCTTAATCACTTCATCAAACTGGCTTCACTTGATTGAGATAAGATGAACCAAAACTGAGAATCTACTTACTTACCCAAGAGAACAAGAATTAACTCCCCCACTCCCCAAACTAAGCTTTGCTGAATCTTTTCTATCCAGAAGAACATAAATTGCTGAGTTTCAATTAGTAATCTCTCTGGAAAAAGAGAGAATATCATTTCCAAGCCAATCCTTGTAATTCATCCTTTTTGAAGGCCAGTCTCTGATTCAGATCTATGGTTGGGTTTGTTTGTTTGTTTGTTTGCTGGCTTGCTTGCTGCTTTTTGTCTGTGTTTTGCATTATTACTGTGGTGAAGAAATGCTGCTAACAACTTATTCTACTGACCTTTAACCACCATTTCTTCAGAGTGCAAAACCGAAATTCATTTATGTAAGGGTTGCATATGTACATAATTACACACACACACGCCTCCTTCCCAATGTAGTAATATATTTACCCATAAATCATTTTCTTTATGTGTGCATGTATATATCTTCTATTTTGTGGTGAAGGTGGCAATGCTTACAATAGTCATTGGCTGAGCTAGTATGACATTACATCATGTTTGTTAACTTTCCAACTGTTTGTGGAACAGCTAACCTTCTACAGTTTATTTTCTATATAAGAAAGGAAAACTGATTCTTTGGCTTGGGGCACGATCATACACAGCCTTAGGGAAAGGTTTGGTTCTGAGAGGAGCTGAAGCTCATGAAGAAATCAAAAAGAAGAATGCTGAACAAAGTAAAGACCTTGGAGAAGAACAGGAGAAATTAATAATTTATTGGTTACAACTGATTATTTTGTTGCCCTCAGTGGTTCTTCTGTATGGTTCCAAAATGAAGTTTTATTCAGTTAATTGGGATATTTCATGTCTTGAAAGCTGTTATATTAACCTCTCTGTCACTTATGTTCTTTCCTTTAACTAGAGAAAAAAGAAGCTTAATAGGATTTTTTTTTTTTTAGCATTAGATTTTTCCCATGCTATGTAGCACATCAGGCAGCAAGGGATCTCCAGTATTTTTGGTTTTAGGCTTCAGCGTCTTCCCATACAATGTTTAAAATCTTTAAGTTGTCTATGAACGTTTTTCACCATATATTTCAAGGGCATCTTCTTGGTCGTTTGGCATCAGGAGGATCCATCACATTGCCAACCCCTACCTGTAAAAATTATAACCGCTATGGAAACAGCAAGAAGAATCTTAAGAAATTGAACAGGAATGTTGATTGACATTCACTTTCAAACAAAAACAAACAAGGGGGTTTTATTTTTGCAAGCAATTGTCCTAATATAATCAACCCTAACAGAAAATGGTTAATGTGAATGTACTGCTTATTTTATTCGTTGCTTTCAAGAGCTAGTTAGGTTTCTCTGGGGCAGATGGGTTTACACCATCCTACAGGTATGAGCAGGACCAATTTTAAATGAGTCAGCAATCATTTTTACAGAAAGGAAAGCCAAGCCTCCAGAGATCAAACGCCATGTCTCCAAGTCAGAATCAGAACAGAATGTTATTTCATGTTTGCCAGTTTGCTTATATAGCACCATCAATATGCATGCCTCTTTATGCTGCTCTACAAAGAGCCATCTATTTTGTAAAGAAGCCACATAAGAAAGGCACCCTCGCTGTAGGTGGTTCTACAGAGTGTAAATTCTGACTTTTAGCTACATGGAAGACCATGGAGGGGTTCAGTATGAACCTGGAAAAAATATGTGTCAATACATTTATCTGCATTTAGGCTTTCTTTCGGTTATGAGGGAAATCTTTTCATACTCGGGTACGCAAGTATGTTACACAAACACATTTTTCTCCTTCAGCAGACTACATTCCATATATTTTATTTAAATAGGTAAAGGGTTCCCCTGTCAAGTTGTATCCAAGTCTAGGGGGCTAGAGTTTCCTAACTGTGGGAGCCAGTTTATCTAAAGACACTTTAGATCATGTGGCCGGCATGACTATACATCAAGTTGCATGGAACGCCTTCTGATGAGAACCTTCCTACCAAGGTGGTACCTATTAATCTACTTGCATTTGCATGCTTTTGAACTGCTAGGTTGGCAGGAGTTGGGACAAGAATAATGGCAGGGTTTGTATAAAATGCTTTAAATAATCCCCACCTGCCCATTACCATTCTTTCCACTTCATTTTGGAAGTTTTAAAATCAAAGTTGCACTTCCTTTTCCTGAGCAAAATCAGTAAGCAAACATTTGTTGCATACATAAGATAATATTATATATAGTACTGGATTCCTTTGGGAGAACATGGCAATGTAGCAAATAATATAGACCTTGTTGTTGTTGTTGTTGTTGTTGTTGTTGTTGTTGTTGTTAGTTGCGAAGCTGTGTCCGACCCATCGCGACCCCATGGACAATGTTCCTCCAGGCCTTTCGGTCCTCTACCATCTTCTGGAGTCCATTTAAGCTCACGCCATCTGCTTCAGTGACTCCATCCAGCCACCTTATTCTCTGTCGTCCCTTTCTTCTTTTACCTTCAATCTTTCCCAGCATTAGATTCTTCTCCAGTGAGTCTGACCTTCTCATTAGGTGGCCAAAGTATTTGAGTTTCATCTTCAGGATCTGGCCTTCTAAAGAGCAGTCAGGGTTGATCTCCTCTAGGACTGAAAGGTTTGATCACCTTGCAGTCCAAGGGACTTGCAAGAGTCTTCTCCAGCACCATAGTTCAAGGGCCTCAATATAGACCTTACCTGTATCCAAAATCTAAACTTTGAGAGAGGAGAAGTTGACCAGAACTGATTCGTAATCTCAGATATTCTTAAATCGAGCTCAGAGAATTAATGGAGCTTGAGATGTAATTTCCGTCTCCTTTCCTCCCACACAGAGAGCTGTTTGCACAAGGGCTGTCTGGAGCCACTTGCCTGCATGGTAGAAGAACAGAATGGCTTCTTACAGGAATATGTTCAACTCGTGGGGGAAAGAAATATCCTGATTCAAAGCAGTTTCAAAAAGATTGTGAAGCATGGAACATTGACATGCTCAGGTAAAAAGAAAGAAAGCTTTATTAAAGCAAGAGTTGTTTAATTTGTTTGCTTGCAAGTATAAAAACCATACATAGGGACAGAGATGAAGAGAAACTACTGGCAGCCCAGTAAGAATATGAATTTGGGGTAGATGATGAAGCTATGGGAGATTCCAAGAAGAGGTTCCTGCTGACCAAAACGTTGATAGAATAAAAAGAGCACAAGAGAGATTAATCCTGCATGCTTTCATTGCAATCTTGTGATAATACATTTCTCACCACAATGTGCAGGAAAGGTTTCTAACATATGTCAGGTTCTCTGCCCCGCATAACTTTTTGTTGTTGTTGTTGCTGTTGTTACAGCTATCTTTTTTAACAAAATGGGAAACAATCATGGCACAACATTCCCATTTCTAACATTGGGTTTTAATTTCCTTGAATTTAATTTCCTTGTCTCTCTTCTGTTATTCTCTGAACTTCTCATTCACTCCTTAGTATTCTTAATAAATGTAATGGAGGATGTGTGCAGCTCAGTACTTTGTTTCGAAATATTCTTATCTGCTCAGAGAAAATAACAAACTTTTGGAGGGAGCTAGGTAGGGAACAGAAAGCATCATTTTGGCTTTAGAAAAATGCGAATTTTGTTGTTAGATGGGCATGGCAGCTGGGTTTTGAATGAACAAGCTTCCATATGGTAGCCATTTTGTGGAATTATCTAAAGTTTAGCAGCAATTTAGAACCAATGTTTTTGCCTAAACATTATTTGTTTCTGAGTTTTCTAGTCTTTCCCCACCCTTTTTCTCCTCCATATTTGCTTGGTAAAAAAAAGGAAGGAAGGAAGGAAGGAAGGAAGGAAGGAAGGAAGGAAGGAAGGAAGGAAGGAAGGAGAAAGGTACTAAGTGTTAACTAGAGAGGCATTAATTAATGTTACAGCTTTCCCAGAGAACATGGAAATTGCTTGGTTTTTTTTTTTTTTTTTTATCTAACCTGCTAAAGGATTATGGAATCTTTTTGCTTAAAGGACAAAAATAGCTGTTTGCCTCCAAATTTCAATGTGCAACCTTGAGAGTCTAACATGGTTACAAGGGGACAAGTAACCTATGGTCTTCAAGTCTTCTGTGTCATTTCAAGTTTTTTGTTTTCTTGTGATTCTATATTAACATTTCTATTATTTGCTTGCATGCTAAGGTGTTTTACTTTCAGGAAGAAATGCATGAAACAGGAGAATCCTGACTCCATACAAAACCAACCCCTTCCCCCCCCCCCCCCCCCGTGTGTGTGTGTGTGTATGTGTATATATATATATATATCATGTAATTATTTGTGCCTTTCTGTATAAGCTCCAGAAAAGTTGTTCTTGCCCAACAGGTTAGAAACATTAGCTCACTTCTGCTTACTCAATATGATATTGTATCACTTGATATATTTGCTCTCCAGTAAGGCACCACACCCAAGTACCCACCTCACACCTCTCAAAGCAATGGAAATGAAAGGCCTTTTGTTTTTCCAGGCAACTTTAATGGGAGAGTAAGAATAAAAAGGCGTTGAAAACTCCTGACTGAAGGGCAGCTTCTCAGTGCTCCGAAGGCGGTAGGGCAGTAGAGGAGACACACAGCTCCAATTTAACAGAGAATGCTCTGTTTCCTTTTGCCAGCCTGAAGGTCTTTGGGGTCGATTTCCCCACTGACTGGGAGGAGACACTTTCAGGAGTTAACCTGAAATAATCTGTTGTGATAAAAAAAGTGGTGGGGGGCACCGTGTGCTTCATTGAAGTCAGTACAAGGGCAAAGAATATCATGAAACATTTTTGTTCCTATAGCCCAGGGGAGCTAAACTATAAGAGATAATTTGGGCATCATACATTCCTTCTCTCTTCACCTTCATATTTCCTATTTCCTGTATTTGCATTGCATTAAGAGTATGTAAATAATATAGAAGAAACAATTAGATTTTAATTGGAGCCATGGTTTTGATAAGGGCTGTTTTTAAACGAGTTTTAACATTTTTTTTTCCTAAGAATTACTTACACTGAAGGAATACATAAATTAAAATAGCTACAGATATTTAACAGATTGAATATTAAAGCAAAGGGAAGCAATTATATTCTCTTTTAGCAATAGCAATAGCACTTAAGATTTATATACCGCTTCACGGTGCTTCACAGCCCTCTCTAAGCAGTTTACACAGTCAGCATATTGCCCCCAACAATCTGGGTCCTCATTTTACCCACCTCGGAAGGATGGAAGGCTGAGTTAACCTTGAGCCGGTGAGATTTGATCTGCTGAACTGCAGCTAGCAGTCAGCTGAAGTAGCCTGCAGTACTGCACTCTAACCACTGCGCCACCTCGGCTCTTCCCAACATAATTCTGCTCTGGAGCCATTTTAGGATTTTTAATGACCAGTGGTTGGGGGGGGTCAGAAGTGGGATCAAGCCAGCTCCTCTTAGCCACTTAAAGCTGCTGTGGGCACATCCCTAGTCCCTCTAGTCCCTCTAGTCCAGGGGTGTCAAACTCACGTCATTATGGCAGTATCACCTGATGTATTGGGACTTTTTTCCCCTTCGCTAAACCCGACATCTCCAGCACATGACGCATCCAGCCCACAGGCTGGGAGGTTGACAGCCCTGCTCTAGTCACTGGGCACTACACTCTAGCACCATTTTGCCTGGGGCTGCAAGAGAAACCAGACATTTCCATAGCTGCCCATCAAATGCAGACCGGTGCTTCCAAGATTGATCAGGGCCCGTCACATTCATAGCTCTCTCTTCTGAAATAGTGATAAAGACCTAACTGGGGGAAAAACAGGAGCTACCCAGAAAGTCAATTACACCAGGGTGAATGTGTATTGTTAGTTCTGAAACCCATTACAGATTTTTTTGCTGCTTCTGCCGACAAAGGGCTTTAGAAGGGGAACACCATTTTGCCCACTGCAATGTTATTTTATGGACTATTTTTTTGTGAAGGAGATGGTGGGTGCTTTCAAAACTGGGCAAATAAAATAGACATATTTGCTTGCAGCCAGCCAGTCCATTTACAATTGGCACTGGTGTTCTCCTGAATCGTTTGAGGATGTAGCTTACTCGGTATCAATTGCTCGCTTCCCCTTCATCTGTGCTTCTCTGCTGGATCTGGTGACTCAACTGGCAGCTCCTAGTGTGAGGGAGGGCAGGAGCCAGGGGTATCCAGAGGATATAGGCGAAAAAAACAAAATGGCTGCCATAACAGCACAATTGAAGTTATGTCTATATTGTTTATGTGCAACAAACAAGCACTTTTTTTGACTACATCTGATAGACACTTCTGTCAGGAGATGAAATAGTAGGGACTACCCTCCGATGTTCCTTGAAAATCTCCATCCGTGCCTCTGGTTTATCAGCCAGGCTATTTCTGAATACATGTCTCCCTCCATCTCACTTCAACTTTCCACCCCTCTTTTCAGCAAGGATATTTTTAGACACAGGCTTAGCACACTTTCCAAAGAGTGCTAGACTCATGTTCAGAAATAGCCCAAGTGACAGGGCACAAAGCAAAGCATCTGTGACCTGGCACTTTTCTACAGTTGCTCAAGCCTGCTTACCAGCATTAAGTTGAGCAATTGATGGTTCTTCCTGCTACCAGGTGATGATTGAGGGAAAAGAAAATAAGCTGCAGAACTCAGCTAATCCACCAATCTCTCTCCTTATGCAACCCATATTAGAATTATAGTAACGTGATCGATTTTTTTACAATGAGAAGGAGGACACAAATAAATTGAAGAAAAAATATTGTAAATAAAAACTTGTAAATAAAATTATACATATTTGGAAATTATTAAATAGATAACGAATTAATAAAACATGAATAATTGTGCTCACCTGTGTATGATTGAATATTCACTGAGAAAGAAGTGAGTCTAATGTGTGTGTGTGTGCCGTGTCATGTTTCGGTAAGAAGTAAACAAAGCCACTTTCACGCGGCGCACTCTCTCAAAACAATTCTCCTGTGCGGAGCACATGGGTCTCATAATCGTGCCTCGTTGCACTGTACTGAGCCTTGATGAAGCGTCATGTCAAATACAAATATGTCACATCACACGCAACAGATCGGATCGGCATCGATCAAATGCGGAGATTTACAGATTAGTCTTCACAGATTAGACACTTTTCAAGAGAGGACAGAATTTACAAAAGAAGGACTGTCTTCCCTAAAGGAGGACGATTGTCACCTTAATTTTAGGGACAGTACCATTCCCCCTCACTTTTTTTTTCTGAATCTGACTAGGACTCCATAATCAGGGCAGTGTGATGCCATCATATTTTTCTGCTTTCTATTCTCAGTGACTGCAAGCTAATTCATTAAGGCAGGCATCCAGCCATGCTCTTACAAGAATTGTAGTCCAAAAATTCTTCAAATCCACAGGTTACATTGACATGTACACTATATGTATTCGTTCTTTCATTCTTTCAGTTACCTTTCTAGACAACTGGATCCCAATCCCCATTTTTTTTAGACCAGCAAAATACTTAAGTAAGTGTCCTTAAGCTCTGAAGACCACTAACATCAGCCCATGTCTTCCCGGCAACTGTTCTTGAGGGCAAGTACAAAAACAATATCCCTTATAAGCTAAGGCTATGCAGAAGGATTTGTTGAATCCATAGCTGATGCTCTGCTATAGGGCATTTTATACAAGGACCGACTTCATAACTCCCTAGCCTAGCTAATAAAGCACTCAGACAATTCTGACTGGTGCACATATGCACCTACTTTTGTGAAATTAGTACGATTTGCTATTTCTGAATGTGACTGAATTGCTCTGATTGCTTTAATTATTTATCTATCATTTTATGTTGTTTTACTTTGAAATAGAAGCTGTTATTTGTTGCCTCGTAAATCCTGGTGAGCGATCACAATAAAGATATTACCATTATTACCTTTCTATACAAACCAGGGCATAAAGCGGAATCTATTTTAGGACAAATTAGTATCTTTCGATACTCTAATTGTAATGCTTACATGTGCTGGAAGGCAGTAACCTTTATTACG